GTCATATGTATCTCAGGTTTGTTATCCGTATGTTGGACCTAGTTCTTGAGTGTAGTTTTAGTCATGATCTCGCAGGTGGAGCAACGAGCACGAAAGAGAAAAAACAGGGAATAAGAAGACACTGATTGTTTAGAAATAGCCTGCTCGCAGGCTCTCATCGTTGATGGCACGAGCAAAGTGCCAGGCACTTCACCGGCTTGCTTCGCTTGTTGACTCATCTCTCGTGACTTTGCTCCTGCCGCAATGCATGAGGGCCTTCTCACAGACTACATTGTTAATGTTATTTTCTTGTTATTTACATTTTCCACTGTAGCTCTTTCGCAATAATATTCACGATATCGATCACATAATTAACCTCCTTAATGCATGAACGTTTCAAAGCTATTTTAGTAGAGACAAGCTTTCATTAACACTATTACAAACACAAAGTTGATAAGCTCAAAGAAGCTAATACGCAATGAATGCAACCCAACGAAGCGTATAAACAAACCTCGTTGTGGCCTCGCGAAGGCTTTCTCCAGCATCAAAGCTCAACAGATTTCCTATAAAAGGCAAACTTGTCAGACGAGGTCCCGGCGGCATGTTCCTGAACTGATACAGCTCAATCAGTTGATTGAGAATCAGCAAGAACACGATGGCAAGGAAAATATTTCCAAGAGTAAAATATTCTGATAACAACAGCTCCATCTTCGAAATATGCAAATATCAGCTGCATCCTGACGTCACGTAATGTCACGAGATGAAAGGCACTGCAAATAATTGACAATCAGAACAATGGCTTTTGTAAGATATTTCAACACAATTTACAGTCTTATTGCTTTTTTAAGCAAATTCCTTTTTTAAGCATATTCCATCTGATTATTTTTGGCGCAGAAATAACCTCCAGAGAGCTAAGTAACTTCAAATTCACTTTTTCTTCAGGGTAATAAAACACGAGAAAATAAAAATCAAATAAATCAATAAAATAAGGCAAGAATGCCGATGTGGTGTGTTCACGAGATTTATTAGAAAATGTTATCTCTAACAACAACACGCATTTTAGCGGACGCGTGTAGTGAAATAACTCGAGATGGGAACAGGAGTGACATACGAGTCACACACGGTCATTCGTGCTGACAAATACCAATGAGATGCAAACGAGGGTCAGTCCCCGGAGGAATTTGACTAGGATGTTTAACTCTGAAAACGTATCAAATGTTTTCTGTCCATACTACGCCGGAGGAATTTCA